TACAAATCCTTTGAAACCCTTAGGCTGACCCCCTTCCCAAACCCAGCATATAATAATGTTTGATTAATGAAATGTTTTCAAAACAGGGTCATTTAGAGTTGAGTTAATTTACCTGTACCAGTGTAATTACCTTTGATGACGATGAATTGTTGCTTTAGTTGGCGCTCCGTGAGGTATGAACAAAACCATCTCAAAAGATTTCCACCGATCCCTAGCCTATCAAGCTCAGCGATCGCAATTTCGTGGTTCAGCTTATCGAAGACTGCCGTAAGATCTGTGTAAATAACGTCCGTTTTGGTCCGAGCAATCAAACTGTCTGTGATGTAAGACGTTAGGCACAGCAGGTTCGTAGTTGTGGAACGCCCACTTATGAATCCGTGTTGATCTGTACTTATATATTACTTGCAATGCGCATTTAGGGACTCTATGACAACCAATTCAAAAAGTTTTGATACAGCACTCGACGACGTGATTCCCCGGTAGTTGTTTACGTCGCGTTTGCTTCCCTTTTTATGAACAGGAAACATATCCGCAGTCTTCTAGCAAGACGGAAAGATGCCGCTGGAAAGAAAGAGCTGGAATATGCGGCGCAGTGGATCTAAAAGACAAGTGATGTTCTTTTTAAGAATAATCGACGGAACACCATCGGGTCCAGCCTTAGCTGAGGTCTTAAGTTAAGATGCTGCTCTATAAATCGTATCTGTTGTGGCTTCGACCATGCTGAGCGTTTGGTTTGGACCAAAGGAACATTACTGGCCGCGGAAGTAATGATATTAGCGGAGAGTTGCTCGTCTTCAAACACACTAGCAAATTTGGCTGAGAACAGGTTGCAAATGTCTTGTTGATTGCCAGCAGTTACACCATTAAAAATCATGGAAGAGGGTAAGCCGACTTCCCTGCGTTGCTCATTTACGAAGCTCCAGAAGGATTTCGGGGGTGATTTTAGCCACCGTTGAATCTTCCTTTGATAGCGTTGAAAACAGAGACGACTTAACCAATTATACTCGTGGTTGAGTCTGACATAGCAGCATTTCAGCGGTAGTGTGCGGAGTTTAGTAAATCTTCTGAGAGCAGCCTTCTTAGTTCTTTTCAACGAGCGAAGATCTTTCGTCATCCAAGGGACGCGAGAGTCGATATGGATGATCTTTTTGGAAAAGTGTCTGTAAATGACAAATGCCAAGATGTGAGAAAAGGTTTGTGCAGCAATGTTGACGTCTACAGGATCTAGAATATGCTCCCAATCTAGATTAGACAGCACATGGACAATATTGCGGTAGTCAACTCTACGGAAGTCATAACACAGCGTTTGAAGTGGTAAAATCATGGACAATATTATTTTCGATCACGATAACTAAAGCAGGGTGATAATACACTTCCTTGACTAAAGGTTCGGGCAACCGGTGAACACTCGTGTTTATTTCAGTTACCGTGGGGACGTAATTTGTGATTAGCACCGGTCCCTTTCAAATTGTATCATTATTTATGTACGGTCCTTATATTTGAAATGACGTTTAACATGCATCTAGTGATGGCCGATTTTCTTACGAATAATTGATTAATCGATTAACGAACCGAAAAGTAAAATATTTGTAGTCGGTTATATCGTGCCGATATAAGGATTAACATCTCCAGAGGATCCTCACCGATCGTTTCAAACATGTGCTGCACTCTCATTGACGGAAATATGGCAGCACAGCGATAAAAAAAAATCGATTAGTTGTTAATCGGGTAATTAAAAAATGGGACACCTCTGATTTTGGTGTGTTTGTTTTGATAAAAATGAGCGCAAAATTTCATCTCTGTCCAGGGGGCAGCAAAACCACAAAATTACCTTGAATACGGGGGGTATTCATTGGATGAAAGGGACCGTGAAAGAGGACACTAAAATAGAAAGTCGACAGTTTCATCAACCGGTGAACACTCGAGTCTATTTCAGTTACCGTGGAGACGTAATTTGTGATTAGCCCCGGTCCCTTTCAAATTGTATCATTATTTATGTATGGTCCTTATATTTGAAATGACGTTTCACATTCATCTAGGGATGGCCGATTTTTATTCGAATAATCGATTAATCGATTAACGTACCGAAAAGTAGAATATTTGTAATCGGTTATATCATGCCGATATAAGCATCAACATCTCCAGAGGGTCATCACCGATCGTTTCAAACATGTGCTGCACTCTCATTGGTGGAAAAATGGCAGCACAGCGAACAAAAAATAATCGATTAGTTGTTAATCGAGTAATTAAAAAATGGGACATCTCTGGTTTTGGTGTGATTGTTTTGATACAAATGAGCGCAAAATTTCATCTCTACTGAGGGGGCAGCAAAACCACAAAATTACCTTGAATACGGGGGGTATTCATTGGATGAAAGGGACCGTGAAAGAGGACGCTAAAATAGAAAGTTTTTCTTCCGACAGTTTCATCTTAGTATTCATCTTTGGTTTCATCTTAGTATTCATCTTTGCTATAACTGTCCAGGAGCTAGATGGTTCCTACGTGGAAAGATGAACGCTCGTGATCAGGACAAAATAAAGCACTATGGGTTGGAGTCCATGCATTCCGGTAGGTTAAAATCGCCAAGAAAAATAACTTCGTCGGAAGGGCCTGCTTTGTCTGAAGCGGCCAAGACTGATCGACAATGTGCGTCAATAAGCTCCAAGTCACGGGTTCGATCTGGAGGGATGTACACTGCACAGAGAAGCAATTGAAGATCACCAAGTTGAATAGCCACCCACACTTGTTCAATCCTGTTCCAGGAATCGTCCCCGATAACTTCTCAGGTTAGTCGAGGACTTTGTCGTTCAGTTTTTTTCCCCGGAAATTATTGTTAAACAAGCTACAATTAAATAAAAAGGAGTTTTCGCCAAACAGTTTTACCTGCTTTACTGCCAGTCCCAAGAGAGCCAAAAAATTCAAATTTGAGAGAGAAGATTTGCTCTCACGACCTCAATCTCTCAACATGCCATGTATTTTGATGATACTCGATTTGAGATTTCCCTTTCACAGATTACAAAATAGAGTACCGTCACTACAAAACATGTCTGGTACCTCTATGCATTTGCTTTAACATTTGAAGTCCCTCCTTTTTTACATATTCTGCGCAAAAGATACTTTATGCCCCGTCTCATACATAAAAATCGGCGGGAAATTCTGTGAGGGGTGAGCTATTTTGTGTGCAGAATGTGTAAAAAAGGAGGGACTTCGAATAATAATCTAAATGCATATATAGAGGTACAAAAAAAAAAGTTGTTGAATATTACATCGAAACTGCTGCAACCAGGTCAATCCATCGGTTGTGTAATATCACATTGTACAATGTGCATCGATTTTGCGAACAAAATTATATCCATTGATGTAATATTGTATCTGCTTTTTGCTATTACATCATTATTTCATACATCAGCTTGAATTACGTTGATCGATATTAAATTTTTTTGCTGTGTACCAGACATATTTTGCACTGCAGTGTCCTCTGTGAAAAAGGAGGGACTTCAAATGTTAAAGCAAATGCATTCAGGGTAAACGCTCCTATAGTTGCGGTACGTTAGAAGCGTTAGGTTCCTGTAGTTGTGTATGGAGACTCCATACACAACTATAGGAACCTAACGCTTCTAACGTACCGCAACTATAGGAGCGTTTCCCCTATAGAGGTACCAAACATGTTTTATAGTGTCAGGTATTGTATTTTGTAATCTGTGAAAGGAAAATCACAAATCGAGTGTCAACAAAATATATGGCATGTTGAGAGTTTCAGGTCGTGAGAGCAAATTTTCTCTCTCAAATTTGAATTTTTTGGCTCTCTGGGAACTGGTAGTAAAGCAGGTAAAACTGTATGGGGAAAAATCAGTTTTATTTAATTGTAGCTTGTTTAACAATAATTTTTCGGGGAAAAACTGAACGACAAAGTCCCGGATTGATTTCTTTAGGTTGTCGTTCACTTTTTTTTTACCTGAATATGCACCGAAAGCGAATTATTCCCACTTCTCTCAATTTCTATATGGGGATTTTTATCACTTCTTACCAGCGGAACAGCGCCATCTTTGTGGAAAATGATCGAACAAAATGATTTATTTATTGCTTGACGGTGACCAATATGAAATGATCCGGCCTGTGATACACTCTGAAAAATCGTCACGTCCGATTTACGTGAAAATATATGTGGTTTTCGTCCACCCTATTTTTCACATAACTTTTACCGGATTTGCACGTAGCCGATCAAAACTCAGCTTCGATTATCTACGTAATTATTCAGGTAAATAAGACCTGATTTCCACGTACTGCTTACGTGAAATCGGGGTGAATACTACTGGAAAACTGGGAACTTTTACGTGGTATTCCGTTTCGTTTTAAATGTTTTCACGTATCTTTTACGTGAATTTTGAATGAGAATAATGGATTATTATAGAATTCTTACGTTCATTTACCTCAGTTTAATGGAAATATTAACTATTAAAAAACATTTTCTAACCATTTGTTTGAATGAACGTTTAAATAAACGGTAAACCAACTGAGGTTGGTTCTCCATTCACCGCTCATATGGATGTAAACAAAAATTATTTTTTCGACAATAATCAGTGCAATGTGTGGACTTTTTCAGCAAATTTTGAAAAAAATGAGCGGTTAATGGAAGTAAACAGGCACCACATGGTACATAACAAAATCAGCTCGATTGTTTTTTTATATCTTTATTAAGAAGACTTTCAGCCCTGGGCTGGTTCGTCTCCTGCTCGATTGGTTTGAAAACATCCAAGAATAAGCGAAAACAGCACGGGTAAACGGCACCACTCACCGCGCTCTTCGGGGGATTTGTGTATTGCAGAAACATTAATGATTTTTGTAAATGAGCTTAGCTAAATGCTGCCAATTGACTGTTTAACTTTTCGCTTCTGAATCACAAACAGAGCGAAGAAGAGCAACTAGCGATAGTGACTCACTTGACAAGAATGTTAAGGAACTTGTGATATCTTGTTAGCGAATGAACAAACTCTCAGCAATTTTAACACGGAATTGTAGTTTATTTCCCTTCCGATTTTGTGGTATCAATCTCCGATCAGTGTAATGCGTTTTTCTTCCGCACAATGCTACTGCACCGACTAGCGGTCGCCTATGTGTAATTGTGCCCCTGCAATTAAAATCAATGATAGCCGCATGCTATCAAATCATGTGTCCCACGGAGATGACAAACACGCAATGGGTCGTGTATCGATAAGCGGTAGGCTATGTGGATTACTGCACTTGATGCTTTTTTTTTATAAATCTCAACAAACAAACTTTAAGCTACAGTTAACTAATAGAAAACAAAATAGAATCAAATTAGATTACTCTCCGGACTGGATCATTGTTACCTAGCAATTGTTATCTAGAAGGCAATTCTGTGTGTATGTGTGTGTGTAATACATCTGCTACTCGCGTTGTGATAAATAAATAAATTTAAATAGGAACGGTGCTGTCGGACCCAGTTCCTCCGGTGTGCTTCTTGAAGTAGGACTCCAGTTTATCGGCATTGGCTCCGGAGAACTGATCGACTACGTTCTTGTTCTTAATGAACAGGAAGGTGGGCATGCTGGAAATGTTGTACTTGGCGGCCAGATCTTCGCACTCGTCCACGTCCACCTTGATGATCACGAGCTTGTCGGCGTACTTGTTCTGGAACTCTTCCAGCTTGGGAGCAATCACCTTGCATGGACCGCACCAGGTGGCGAAAAAGTCTACCACGACCAGCTTGTCGGCGGCGGCATCCAGCCGGCTGTCAAAGTCTGCCTGGAAAGACAATCGGGAGAACAGTCGCTTAGTAGGTCAATCGGCACACACATACTATATACCAAATGCTTTATCGATTGAGAGTTACGCGAGACCAATTTAGTAGTAATGGGGACATGCATGTAGGAATTGCAAATCAACCTCACACTGGACCTTAGCCAATACAACAATCGCGAGACGCCAAGGACGAATGACCATATATTTGTGTGCATCGCACTCATACATATACATTTCTGACACATCGAGTGACCGCTCAGTTTCATTGGAAACTACTAACGTGGAATTCAGATAGGCTGAAGGATTAAAGAAAACAAGGAGACTGCCCAATCGAAACTGTTTTGTGCTGGTCATCCGTCACCATGACTTGGCGATTTGTTCTTTCTTTCGTCTGCTTTTGTTGCTGTGGCTCATGTTGTAGGCACCAAATGACATCATCCACGTGTTTGTTGTGCACTGGATTTATGGGCTTACAAGCGTTTCATAGAACTAATGCAGCAGCTCGATTTTAACCACTTACCTATCAAACGCACTGCAACCTCTCGGACGGCACACGAGAATTGCTACTTCCGGTACTTAATCGACAATGCTTATGAGGTGGAAGTGTATGGGCGAAAAATGTTTTTTTGCTTGAAGGTTTGCTGTTTGCATTGAAGTTATGCAATTAGCACCTGGCGGTGATAGTTGGTATAGGATAGAAACACCGCCCTCTCCAGCGATAGTGCAAATATGAGGAATAGGGAGAACTTGATCAAACAGAAAGGCTTTTAGAAATTGTTTACCCACCATCTAGTATCGTTGCAAGTACGATTGGACTTTTAGTTGGTCTACCGGTTGGTCTTTTGTTAAGGATTGTTGTTAGTTGGATTTGATTATTGAGCCTATGATCAAGATGGTAGGAATGGCAATTAAATGTCTGCAAATTAAAAAAAAAAATTATGAAGGGCTCTACGCAGACAGAGAAAGAGTGTAATTAAATTCTCTGCCTAGGTACATAGTTTATGGACCTAACTGCAAATCAAATACGAGGGCAGCTTGTTTTTTTTTTATTGGACAAGGATAAGTGAGGTAAAACTACAGATTTGGAGTCCTACAATTGGACAATTGGAATGCTGCCTAAGAATTGAAATTCTCCTTAGAATTCCTTTGGAAATATCCTTCAGGGTGGCCTGAATTTTCATTTTAAAATTCCCGGTTCTAATCTCAAATTATTCCCGGTTTTTAATATTTAGTAAAAATAATGATTGCAATATCACGTTAATTTCGAGGTACTTAGATTCAATTTGAATAACATTTTTTAGACTCGATTCCTCTTATGACTGTAAAGCACCAGAACACAGACAAACAGACATAACACATTGAATATTTCTCACTGTAAAACATCGTCGCTAAAACATATCGGCCATCTGTTGAGTACACTGTGGTGGGTAAACGCTGAACAGATGGCGGTAGTGTGAAAACGTCAAACGCAAGGGAATTGTGAGTGTTATATATGTTTGCCTGTTACCAGAATATACAAAGGGGCAGAGTCATGGATTTGTTTAAGGTTGCATAGACGAACGCTAGGCTGAATGGGTCATTATACCGAGTTTTAGAAGGAGCGATTATATTAAGAAATTGTTGAGCATAGAGTTCTACATCGGGAAGGGAGTGAAGGCACCATGCGCACTGAACGTATCAAGCTGATGGTTCCAGCAAAGAACCGCTACAAGGCCATCGAAGAGCTGTTGAAGTAGACAAAAGTGGAGTATTTCTCCCACGATATCGGGGCGGACAAGCCGCTCAAAGTGGTCCTGCATGATCTGCCCGACATGGAAACCGCTACGTTGTCGGAGGAACTCAAGGAGAACGGTCTAAAACCAAACCAAGTCTGAATGAATCGGCACGACACATCCTATAAGTACCGTGACCAGCTGTATTTGGTCCACCTCGACCGAAACTCAACGTGTCTGAAGGACCTTATTGGAAACGTTATCAATCTAGCCACCGTCGCCCAATGATCAAACTGCCTCATGTTTGGGCACGGGACCAAACATTGCCACATGGCTCATCGCTGCAATAATTGTGGCACGCAACACGCACCCGAAGCATGCGAGAGGATGGAGGACGCTGATTCAAAATGCGCTAATTGTGAATGCCAGCAAGCCTTGTCCAAAAACGTGCGGAATTCATGGATATCCGCAAAAGGGCCTCCACGCAGAAACAGCGAGGTCGGAAGAAGGTTCCGGCTCGCAACGAGCAGAATTTCCCCGCCATTATCCAACGGCGTCCGATTCCGATTCTTCCACCGCTTGTTTCCGTCAACTGCTGAGGTGCCAAACCCTTCGGCTAATCCGCGTCGATGCGGCAACGGCTGCATACCCTCCCCTGGGACTATCCTGACGTCGGGATGATGAAAACGAAGATCTGCTCACAACATAGGAACTCATTACCATCATGGCAGAAGCAATAATCATCAAGCGCTCCTGCAGGACAAGAAACCGAGCAGATTCTTGCTGCATCACGTTTCATCGACAATCATGGACCGTGAAGCCTTCCAGATCGCCAACTGGAATGCTTGCTCACTTAAGAGCAATAGCAAGAGCATCGAGTTCGTTAATTTCCTCAACGAGCGTAGTATAGACATTGCTCCGAGACGCCCGAGGTGAACGTCTTCCTTCCCGATTTTCGGCTCGTAAGAATGGTGAGGAGTGGCCATCGCTGCCAGACGGTACAATCGAAACGGAAGTTCATGCAAGCATCGACATCTTCATCAGCAACATGAGCCGCAACATCTCACAACCTGTGGCCTACCAGGAGCTGAGCTCGGACCACTATGGGGCTTATTACGGATGTCACTTCACGGTGAAAACTTGTCACTTGTCGTCACGGTGAAGTGATTCCCATTTGATTTGTACGGCAATCACGGCTCTTATTCTGAGTATCACTTCCTTATCACCGTGTAGTGACACCCGTAATAAGGCCCTATATGATGGTGGCCGAAGCAGGCTTCTCTGCTAACAGGTCATAAGCCTCCCGGCGCAACTACCGATGCGAAACAGTTCCAACGCTGCGTTGACACTGCTGTCGACTATGAGGAACATCCGGACACCCCGAAGACGTTGACCGGTGCCTGAGTTCCATAGAGGAGGCGATATCCCGAGCCAGGGAACAACATGTACCAGTTTCCAGACAGGTGAGCAATACTCTGAATCTTGATGGACCCACTAAAGACATAATAAGACTCCGTAACGCTATGCTTCGTCAGCTCTCATAATCTCGGACTGAACATGGTTATTTCATACGATATTGAAATTGCTGAAAATGCAGCCAACCTTCATCAAATTCCTAACCATTTTCTTGTGGAATTTGAGATTACGGCCGATGAACTGTTGACCTATATGAAATCATCTAAGAACGTGAAGGCCCCAGGTTTCGACCAAATTCTGAATCTGGAACTCAAACACTTGAGTTCCAGATTCTTCAACTAACTGGCACTGATTTTTAATCTGTGCCTTAGACTTAGCTACTTTCCTCGTGCTGGAAGTCAGCTAAAGTCATCCCCACCCGGAAGTCTGGGAAAGATTCGTCTTCACATTTAAGTTACCGACCCATCAACCGGGGTTATCTAAGGGCAGTATACCACCGACTCCTGGCATCTGCCTATGAAAACAATTAATTGCTCGAGGAACAGTTTGACTTCGGTCGATCGACTGTTCACCAGCCAACTCGAGTGACAAACATTTTCTGACGGAACAAGTCTGTATCTAAAACATCTGCCAAGAATGCTTGGACGTTGAAAAATCGTTCGACAATGTCTGGCATGATGGCCTGGTCTACAAATTACAGCGATACGGTCTTCCAATCTTCCTTGGGAAGATCATAAAAAACTATCTTTCGAACAGGACCTTCCGAGTCTCTCTGAATGGCATCACATCGGTGCGGATGTTCCACAAGGAAGCATCCTTGGACCCATCTTTTTCAATCTGTTTACCTCCGATATGCCGTCTCACCCTGATGATGGATCGTTGTCCCTGTTCGCAGATGACACATCCATATCTATAAGGGTTGGGTCATTGGAACTCTGACCACCAAACTTCAGAGAGAGGACTGGATGTCCTGTCTGATTATTTCAACAGCTGGAAGATCCGTATAAACGTGGACCACATTCCATGGTTGCAATTGCTCATTTGGAATAAACAATGTTTCCCGAAATTATTAAAGTTACTTTAAAAACAATCTTCGGTGTCAAAATCTGATTCAATTGGCACTTTGATATATTGAACATTTTTCGAGGAATCAGACTTAGCAACAAAAAAAAAATGTCCCGGAGGTGAGGCTAAAAATAAGAATCCCGTCATGAAGAAATATGGAGAATCCAAAATCTTATCTTATCTTTCTTTATTAAAGAGACTTTCAGCCATCGGCTGGTTCATGTCTGCGAATCCAAAATTGCTACCGTCTATGCATCACCTAAACCCGGTTATTTTAATAATTGTATCTTTTTTAAGTTCAGCACATTTTTTTTAGTTTGACGTAGGTACTGAAAACTTGGTCAGGTTTTTTTTTTTGTTAACTAGTTCATTTATTTGGAAGGCTCAATACTCGCGGCTTACCCGTGGTTAGAGGGGTACATTGTCGAAGAATAGGGTCAGGGGAGTAGCTTGGAGGTGAGGTTTCGTTGTCTCATCAGAGCGTTGTCGCCAGTATGAACGGTAGTGCGGTTCTAGTTTCGTCTGGAGTTCGACTGGCTATGGTAACCAATTGGCGATGATGAGACTCATCGAGGCGGGTTCGTTCATGTCGTTTATATTTTCCTTTTCCTAATTTAGAATCTTAAAATTTTAAAAGTTCGTAATTACGCTGATCGAAAGGTTATTTCCATTTTACGTCACCCGCCCAAAACAATGAAGGAGCTAAATAAAATTTAGCCAAGTTCAAAATCGGCACTTGCTCTGCGCTTTATCATAAATCTACATCTATTTTTTGTTTATTCCCTAATTTTTATAGTACATTATTTTTGTATAGACACTTGTTATTAAATGATTGCCTCTCTTCCCCCGCGCCGGGCTATTTGAGTGACGTCGAACATAAAATAAAAGTAATATTTGCAGCAGCCTTATTGAAAAAAAAACCGATGCATGTGACACAAATCTACGTAGGTAGGTAGGTACACTTTTCAACTTACCAAATTTAGTTTTATGATTCATTCGACGGCCTCACATCGTAAAGAGTGTCGTGTTGTCGGGTGAAACTTGAAATATTTTTTTTGCATGAGATGCGAAATCCCATCATGTAGGACATGCAGGATTATAATGATTATAATGAAAGGCGTGTTATATAATTTTACAGGCGACAGGTTCGAACTCTGATGCGGCAGACAAAACTGAAAGTATCTGTATTGAGTAGCAAGCCCAAAGATACTCTTAGCCCAGGAAGGGATGTTGATAAATTTTACAATCCTAGAAATTCTTTGAACGAACCGCCGTTTGTTAGTTTTGCAGGCACTGACAATAACAAACTTTTACAAACTCCACTTTACGCTACTTGAGGAAAACTTGACCTTGACCTGATAAAAGGTTCTACCAGCAGGGTATCGTAGACTAAATGAATTACAATTACAAAAAAAAAGAAACTTCAATCGATCAGGAATCGTTTAGTTGTGTGTGTCAGAATGTATGCTAATTAGGGTGTTGATTACTAACTTCATAGGAAACTGTTAGATTCAGTAGTTTAACCGCACATTTCTGCAGCAACAAGACAACAACTCAATCACTTATAGACATGCACCCGTAAGCCGGGTAGAAATTCCTACCGTCAAGCGTGACAAACAACACCCCGGTTCAATAAAAAAAAAATATACAATGCATCTAATGCAAAGCGCGGGTTGAAGGTAGTTGTTTGATTCCATGCACTCTGTTCAAACACACACATTTCATAGAGCAATTATTCCGTGTGCCCCGTCGGTCCCGCCTGATGATGCCATAGCAGCAGACTCTGATGTGCCTTCTGCACATTGTACCTAAGTCCGCTGTTATTCGTCCGTCATCGAAATGAACGACCTCGATGTTAGACGACGCGTTAAATGGGCGCGGGGGAACGCTTATCTTAAGTGTGTGTGAACCCAAGACGTGGGAGAAACCCATCGAAATTGAAAACTGTTGCGGTTTGGTTAACCTTGGGACTTTGTACAAATTAACGATTGAAATAAACTAGCTAATTGAATTTTCAGAGATTCTTATGCATCCGATGGGACAATCTCAATATCAATTGACTCCCCCCGCTCCCCTCTTTGCCAACAATATTGAGACATGGAGATTGTGCATGAGCATGAGCTTATCCGAATAAAAAAAAATGCATTCGTCATGCCACGATGTAGCTTTTTGTTCATAATCACCCATAAATTACACAATATATTTTCACCCACTTGATGATTAAGAAAGTTTGAATACTTACAGCATCCTTGACGACGTACACCATTTTAGATTCGGGTGCCACTAGCGTTTGAGATAATAGTAGATAAGTTGAAAAGCACTTTCACTAGACGGCCCTTTAAGGAAAATAACCCACACACGTCTTCACCGGTCGATTGACACTTGACTAATGTTGAAAAATTACGACGACTGACGAAACGGCGAGATGACATGACACAGCGGAAAAGTTTGCGATTCAAGATCAATATTCATAGGTGCACGGTGTATTGATTTGTGTTTGTATTAATGTATTAAAAATCGACTGACGTTGAAAACATTAAATTCAACGCTAGATAGAAATACGAAGAAGAAAAGGAAGGACAAATAAAAAGAATGAGAATGAAGGATAATGAATTATTCATTCAACTACTCAACATTTGCTTTGTATTTCTTATTGTGCAATGATCTAAATTATGCTTTTTTAATTTCCAACCCGCTCAGAACGCAATCATGAAACTATCCTTATATAAACGTCATTGGGTCTCACGCTATCTCCAAAGTACCCATTAATGAGTAAAATTTTACTCATTTTCAAGAAAAGTCAAAAATGGGTATTTTTTACCCTTCTTGCTTTTTCCGAAATGTATGAAAAGTACCCACCTGTCATGTATCCCTTTAAGAAAACCTGAAATCCTATAGAAACAATTCATGCTCTTTATTGGACATAATTATTAGCACAATATCACACAAATAATCAATAGCATCCACTGGGCATCGGTTTACGAGGTTTGCTGCTCATTCAACTGGTTCGGACCCTTCTGTAAACTTCATTTCTTACTCTTTGAAAATCATCGCTAACCTGAAACGGAACACATATTTAGAACAAATTCAGTTTTCATCATAATTGCAGATACAATTCTTTCCTCGTTAGAATCGATATTAGATCATGCTGAGGATCATGCCCCAGGAATGCTGTGCTGTTCTTCAGATTTGTTATGGAAAGTGACGGAAACAATAAAACTCGCAGCCGCAGCATTGTTGTTAAATAAACATTTTCACGTCAATCAACATCGGTCGGCTCGGTTGAAACACAATTTCATACTACGCCGTATCGTCACGTAATAGATGCACGTGAAATTCAAGAATGTTCATAACTTTTGGTTGTTAAAAATGATAAAACACTCTGCGCTTCCAGTTCACCAAAGATGTCGTGACAATAATTTAATGTACATTTTTACCCATTTTAATTGCAGTAGATATGTTCAAAAATGGGGAAAAAGTACCCGCTTTCCGGTTTTCGAAAATACCCATTTTTTGACATTTTTGAATAACTTCAAAAAATGAGTACAAGGTACTCATTTAATGGGTACTTTTCAGTTAGCGTGCATGGGGCAACAGGCAGCTTCCTGGTGTTAGGCCGTTCGCAATGCTGAGTTTCAAAATTGTTTCAAACTACTCGTCAATTCTATAATTTGAAACTGTCAAAAATAAAACTGCAACACGATCAGCGCAACGCACAGTTCTAAAACATGTTTGTAATCATCAAGTTCCATAAACTTTACTGTTCTCTATGAAGTTCTCCGTTTTTTTTGTGGAGCTCTTCGAAACATCTTCAACACATCCAAAGAAATTTGAAACAGAGTTCCATTCGTGTTTCAAACTCGCTCAGAAATAAAACAGAATAGTCGAGCAGTTGCAAATCTGGTGCAAAATAGTGCTCGAATAATGAAACTGCAACTCAGCATTGCGAGAGGTGCCTTTCTGTTCTAGTTTCAAATTGAAACAGTCCTTATAAAATACAACAGCATTGCGAACGGCCTTAGAAGCAAAAATATTGTAAACATTGCTGGGCACTCAAGTGACGACGTCACTCTACCATAACATTCCATGCTGCGAACAGTGAGATTTACGTCACTGCGAACAGCTCTTTCGTGTAAAAAGATAACCATGGCAAAGAAATACGAAACCACTAAACATTTGTACATTTCACTAACACCAATAAGCCTGTTGGCTCAGACCTTATATAAAGGCATTGGTATAGAACAGGTTAACGACAGGTTGACAGAGACCGCCGTTAAATTAAAGGAAAGATGAAGAAGTTACAAGTTACCTGCACGGAGAAAAAACACTACGCAAAATCTGAGTACTTTTACTTAATTTTTAGTTGAGCCTCTCACTTGCACTCGTTATTGTTGTCAATAAGGAACGAAATAGTTCAGCCCAATAAGTTACTTTTTAGTAAGTTGCATGTTCCAAATTTACGTGAATTAAACTTAATTTTGGGTAGAATATACCTAGGAGTATGTTTTTTTGCTGGTGTTAAATGAAAACTACTATATACGATTTTCTCCAATTTGGGTTATTGCGAAGATTGTTGTCTTCGGTTATTGGGCTGAATCCGGAAATTGAAGGAAAATTACTTAATTTGGAGTAGTTTTTCATCTCCGTGTAGGTTAATATTTTTCGAGCTATTGACCAATGCACGGAATGAACTGCATGAAAAAATTTGACGTTTGAGCGGTGCCGTGTTTACTAAAATGAACACATGAATAATACTCGCGCAACATTTTAAAATGGCCTATCAACTTATGTACACAAAACTTGTTAGGCATTTTTCCCGCGAACCGAAGTACGCTCATGTAAACCAACAACACCATCGGGTAGGGTGAATTCTCCCCTTCCCGATAGTGGTCTGGTTTGCGTGAGTGTTCTTCGGTTCGCGAGAAAAGGGCCTAACAAGTTGTTTATAAAAGTTGATAGGACCTTTTCTAAAGTTACGCGAGCATTGCATCATGTGTTCATTTTTAGTAAACACGGCACCGCTCATAAGTCAAATTTTTTTGTGAGTTCATTCCGTGCATTGGTCAATTCCAGGAAAACTTCTCAAATTTGAGGAAAATCGATGAAAATTAATCTCAGTTCAGGAGTATACTACTGAGTGATGTCTCTTTAAATTTTAGGAGCGACCTCGTTTTTGCGAGTGAACGATACTCAAATAAGAGGGAGATTTATTTGCCGTGCTTTCATCTGCTTTGAAGTTATAACTTAGTACTTAGAGCAACCGTAACGGTGGTTGTCATTTGCGCGACTATTTAAACTGCGCATAGCGCTCTCATTTTAGTTTAGTCACTCTTCTCCACACCGGTCGCTGCTATCGCGGTTATCAATTTACTCGCCGTAGTCCGTACCGGTAGTGAGCATTTTGACATTTCTACGAATAGCAACCTTTCTCCCGCGCTGCTAAATTTGGTAACGCGCTTCTCACCGAGAAGCCGACTGCTATTTTAGTTACTCGTATGGCAACCCCCGATACGGTAGCTGCGCTATGATGAAGGCTGCTAAAATGAGTTTAGCAGCGTACCGTTACGGTTGCTCTTAGTACTAGTTAAAGCGCCTGGATAAATTCAGTCTCTTTAGTACTAGTATACTCTCTCTGAGTGAGATTGAACGGTCGTGAAGACACTCTAAGTTGTCAAAATTTACCTATTTTCTGACAGCGGCATGCATGGTTCAAACACGGGTTTATTTTACCCATTAAAAGTATTCACTAACCACCGTGTAACGACCGGTGTGTGTATTGGATAACTCTGCTAAATCGTTCATAAACGATTCAGCAGAGTTATCCAATACACACACCGGTCGTTACACGGTGGTTGGTGAAAACTTTTTAATGGATAAAATAAACCCGTGTTTGAACCATGCATGCCGCTGTCAGCAAATAGGTAAACTTTGACAACTTAAAGTGGGTATTAAAATACCCATTTTATGAATCAATTTCAAAATAATTTTTACCATACCCATGAATCATAAGTTTTTACTGGCCGAATCCCTTGAGTTCATTCAAATTTCAGAAAGAGTTTGTTCGATGTTTAGAATCTGTTTTGTTTAATGTTTTTAGTTTGATTTCTAAAGAATTAGTCTACATATATAAGAGATTTCGAAATCCTAGTGTCTTGATGTATTTTTTAAGTGATTTGTCAAGTCAAGTGAGAGACAAACCTACTTCGTGCTGAATATTTATTTGGAGAAGAAACAATCAAGAGCAAATTTTCATTACGTCGAATGTAACAAAGCTAAACAAAGTTTCATTATGTCGTAAGTAACATTCGCACCGATCCGAGAAAAATAAAGTTTTGCTTTGATGACCGAAAAGTTATTCCTATTTCCAATTAAACACATATAATCTCATAGTGATAGCAATGTTTAACATATTCAGCCGGGTTTTAATCATACAAAGGCAAATCGCTAGCTTTCATGCTAAGAAATACTGGTTTTTGAGTCAAAAGTTATTATACGTCGTTTGGTGGCCCCTATTGTTACTTAAGTCAAAGTGTATTTACCAGGATATTCGGGAGAATTATCAATTACGTCTCCTTACGTGCAGCCCATTCATCATTTTAGGACCACCGAAATCATCTTAGCAACCAACAGTTCGATTTATTCACTTTAATAATGAGAAAGCGAAACGACGAACGAACACTTTTCACGGGTTTCTCAGCGCTGTTACTTAAGGCAAACGGCATCTCCATAGAAATCGGGTGACTTAAGTAACATCGAAAATTATTTTGATCGGAAGGTGATTACGTCAAAAAGCAATTTGACTGGTAAATAAATTTAAAAATGGGATTTGATCCTATATTCGGACAGTATATAGTGTAATAGCAGGAGAATCGATTGACACTGATAGCTCGACTTTTTTTTACCTTTGTTACATTCGACGTAATGAAAATTTGCTCTTGAACTTATCGTCGAACTTCGAACTGAAATTGATCGCAGAGTTTCGTGATTGTTTTTTTTTCACAACATTGATAAACTTAACCACGAAGACTGCAGATTGAAGGTTAAGATCCAACTACAGACCCAGGTAGTTGTCCTCTGGCAGATCCGAATAGCCCAGCGATTTTTTTTAAATCACTTGTTGTGATGCTACATGAATGAATTTGAATCTGGGGCTAGTATGCGTACACTGGTGGTTACGAAACTCTCCTCTGGGCGATCCGGAACATCCATAAAAGTGGTCAATTTGTAAAAATGATCGAAATATCGATCTTCGTATGCTCCTCTTATAAAGGGCATTTTTGGGTGCCCATCTGTATTACTAGATTACATATTTTAGCTTGTGAATGTATCAAAAAATGTTGAAACCTTTTAGAAGTTCTGATTGATAGAAATGTGTTAAAAGA